AGTTTTATGCCATGTTCTTATCAGTCTAGATAAGTCTAGAATGAATAATGGTCTGAATTCCTTTTAAAGCACTGTACAGTAAAGATTTTTTTTTAAAAAAAACCACTTCCTAAACACTACATAAAAAAACAGGAATGAAGGAACTTTTAAAAATATTTTTTTCAAGATATGGATTTTGACAATATATAACATGGTAACAAAATCCAAGGATTCTATATATGAACATTTAAGCAATTTAGTAGATACTTTTTCTTCTACTATAAAAATATAAATCTAGGAATTCAGGCATCTGGAAACATCACTGAAATTATTTACTGCAAGTCCAGTTGACTAGTTTTAACTTTCAGTCCATAGAGATATACAAGCATGTCAGTAGATGTACTTTCCTTCATCTTGACTTTGCCACTCCAGCAATTTTCAAAAGTTAAAATGTCATATTTACATAAAATTTGCATAAAGATGAGCTTGTGTTGATACAAGAACCTTACGTTTATTTTTTCAACATGCTCACCAGCTAATTTGGTCTACAGCAAACAGATTGCACTTAGCTTTTCTAAGATTGCAATTTAGATTCAATTCTCTGGAGTCTATATTGAGAAGATAGAAAGAGAGGGGGCCTTATGATATCCCTTGTTGTTGTCTAGATAACACAGATTATTTGTATTTAAATCTACATTTCTACAAGATATATAAAAGTCTGAAATTAGGATGGTTGTCATACAAGGATATCTATAGAAAACTATCCATTTTGGATAGTTGTGATATAATGAATGAAAGAAAGGACCACAGATCTTCCTGTGCAATTTCTCTAAAGCTGTGGATTGTGCGACATCAAATTAGAAGAATCGAAACTATGCCTGAAAACCCATAAATGTAGGGGAAGGAAGACCAAACTGTATATGTAGAAAAAAGCCAAGGTGATGTAGTAGTTAAGAGTGCTGGATAGAGACTTGGCAAAGTATGATGAAACTCAGAATGACCTTGGGCCACTAATTCTCTCTCAGCCTAATACATAGAACTGTTTGGAGGACACAGTCCCTGCCAAGACAGCCATGGATATTACCTCGAGGCCAGTGGAGGAAAGTCACTCAGCTCCTTACAAGAAAGAGAGGGTGTATTCAAAATTAATAATCATGTATTTCTTAAAGTCATGTATAGATTCATTCCCTTATATCCCAGTTATCATCATCATCATCATGGCAAGGGAAATATCCAATGATGATGTTTCCACTCACTTTGTATCTGACATGCAATAATGCAGGATGTTTCTGGAGCTTTTACTCATGCTAGTGAGTACAGACGGAAGTTTTAGAGATTGTGACAAGTCATAGTTTAGCAATATATAAACAAACAGACAAGGGGCCTTATGCCTTGCACTTTATGTTTCCTGCATCAATTGAAATTTCCTTCCTCCTTTCTTTAGTTGATGCAAAATGTGCTTGGTGCTTGGTTTATTAGGTCAGGAGTGAGGATCAAGTTGAAATCTGAATTTTCTACTTGAGTTTAATGAGCTGCAATTTGATAGTTCGAGGGGGCGGGGGAGCAGGCCACGTTCAGGTATACAGAGAAAGGGGGAAGTAGCTGGGCACCCAAAAGTCCTTTAAGCCTTGTTTAGATAAGACCAAACCAATGATGTGCGAAGCATGTCATAATCTGAAAATCAGATAATAATGCATTCAACAGTTTGGAAAACAGAGAGCCTTCAATGTTTCCATATCCATATGGCTTAATCAAATGTTTCCACTTTCAATCAGATCATAATTTGATGTTCCAACTGTGGTTTAACTGAGCCATCCAAATCAGGATTTCAAAATAAAAGAAAGTGAACATGAAGCCAAAGAAAAGAATAAAGAATATAGAGGAAAAGGGAGTGCTGAAGACTCTGTCTTGTTCTTTAACATCCAAATCATGATTTGCAAGGCTACCTGATTTCATCCATGGTGAATATACTGAGAAAATTACTTTTTGAACTCCAATTCCCATAACCCACCAGGCCAGAAGGGCCACTGAACATAATAGCTGGGGGATTCTGGGTGCTGAGAGTCCAAAAAAGGAATTTTTCCAAGCTTTGCTATAGTGTTCGAAGAAACAGAAAGCTTCTTTTTATAAAATATAACTTGGAGATTTTCACTAAACCTTCCTCATCATAGCATCTTTCTTTTTTCCTGACAAGACAGTGATAGACAACGTTGAATAACCAGCCATTCCCTCCCCTCCACTTTTGCCAATTCTAGGCACTAAGCACTTAGCAACGCAACAGATGGTTCATTATCCAAATTCTGTTAGTCTTTGGGTAGCAATGGAATAGGCAGGACCCAGTGGGAGTGCCAATCCCAAACACAAAGAATGACAACAAAGGATAACTAGGCTGGCACACAATTCCTTTTGTACTTTTCAGCTTTCATGACAGGTGTGGGGAAGGACTGAACCTCTCTGAGGATTCTTTTTTTCCTGGCCAAATCTTGCCTTTAGGTACAGATGCCATATTCTTGGTGAACAGAAAGATGATGTTGAGTCAAAAATGCCTTTTGTCCTATTCTGCTCTTTCTTATCTCATTAAAAGAAGATAAACTGACCTAACATGAAAAAGATAAGAGACTCACACAATCTTCTTTTAACAAACCCCTTAAACAATACTAAATATAAAAGCATAATAAATAACAGTTGTACCCCATGAACAATTTGAGAACACCCAGTGTGACGGCACCACTGAAACTAAGCTGAACCTGGACCCAGTTAGATTGGAGACCACATGATTAAATCATCAGCTAAAATGTTAAATATTGTGGCTAAATCCAAGAGGCAGTTCCTATTAGATCATCAAGGAAATCAATTGGTGAACAAGTCTCTTTTGTTAGATCCAACTAAACTAAACTCACTGCACCAACTCCCCCCTGGGTACACAGAAGACTGGGTAACTTGGAAGGCGCTGAACAGACTGCACTCTGGCACCAGGAGATGCAGAGCTAACCTTAAGAAATGGGGCCACAAAGTGGAGTCCACGACATTACAGTGTAGAGATGAGCAAATTACAGACCACCTATTACAATGCAGCCTGAGCCCTGCCACATGCACAATGGAACTGCCCTGAGTCCCCTTCGGGGTTGAGAAGGGCGGTATACAAATACCACAAATAATAAATAAATAAATAAATAAATAAATAAATAAATAAATAAATAAATGGAGGACCTTCTTATAGCAACACCAGAGGCATTCCAAGTGGCCAGCTACTGATCAAAGGGAATTTAATATAATGCCAAGTTTTTAAACTTTGTGCTTTTTAAATACAGTACAACTGTATCCTCGGTTCACTTCTGATACGATAAATAAAAACTGCACCAACTTAATAGACTTCCATTGGTTCAATTAAATCTATTCTAGGTGGGACTAAATAATTGGATTTAGACTATGCTCTACTTTTCTCTATACATACTTGTGCCAAGAAAACATCACAAGCAGACAATCAAAGAATTGGTTTTCAACATTCGGGATCTTCTCCAATCTGGCACTTTACAAATATGCTGGACTACATCTCATTATCCCCAAACAACATTCCCTCAGAAATGAGTAACTGCAGTCTTCTATTTTATATACTCTGAATTTACCAGACAGTTATCTTTGAGCACATCTATTTCATTTTCGTTAAGCAGAGGAAGACCAGTGCTAGCTTCAGAATACCAAGGAAACTGGGGGAAAGAAGTCACCATCTATATTAGTCCCCTATGACCTATGAAGAAGATAAGATAAAGCACAGAGACTGGATAACTACTAATGGCACCTAGAAGGTAAACAACCTACTCAGTGGTGGCCCCTCGGCTATGGGATGACCTCCCATATAAGTATATGAATTAGTGAAATAACCCCAGACTTGGATCAACCATAAACTAGATTTGCAAAATACAGTGAGCTTGAAGCATATTTATTTTTTGATAAGAATACTTCCACAGGTACCATTTCTGTGCATATATAAGCATAATAATGCAGAGAAAAGCAAGATTGCAAATTACCTATCTCTTTTCCAGTTAGCAGAAATATATGCATTCTCCATTTTTAGTAAAGCCAAATTCCTACATAATTGCTAAACAGAACCAGCAAAGTATATGCCTGTGATCTCCTTCTTTTCTAATTAACACAAATGTATAACATTTACACTGTGGTAAAGTCAGGTTCCGACATAATTGCTAAAGAGAACAAGCAGAGTATAAACCTGTGGTCTCCTTTTTGGCATATATTAACATTTTGGGACTTTTTCATTACAAATATAACATCTCCAGTTTCCAAAATACTCCTTGCCTACTGCTAAAGAAATGACAAACCCCTATAAACCATGCTATTCTTAATAGTGATCACAACAACAACACAACAGTTTATTTTATCTGTTACACTGTGTTTTCATATGGTACCTATTCTAATAATTACTATATCACGGTGCCCTTTGGCTACAACCAGTTAATTTTTGGCTCACTGTCAATAGAAATGATAAAATACACTCAAACAAAAAGAAAATCAGTTTTCCAGATTCTGTTGGTGAAACAGAATCCTTTTTCTAGTATGTGAAATCAAATAATCTTCCAATAGATAAACCTTGCTGAGAAAATCATATTGTAGGTCCTAAAATTTGATTTGTTGTCTGGTAGAAGAAGATGTAGGTTATATTAAGGTCTCATTTTAAAACTCTACTGCAAATTTACTCTCTGTGTTTCTTGATAGAGAGGGAAGGAGTCCGGTATCTGCCCATATATGTCAGCAGGTAGAAGCTGACTTTCTCATCCCTTTCTCTCAAGATGCTATGGAGCACCCTTGTAACTTTTTATAGTTTTATGTTTGCTTTAATGAATGCTTTATATTACATTGTTTATTTTAATAATGTTCTGAGACGCCTTGGGTCCATATGGAGAAAGGCAGCATAGAAGTTCCCAAAATAAATAAATAAGATCAGCTCTATAGATGTTCTCTCGACATCATATGAAAACAATGGCAAATAATAAGCACTGACTTACCTAATGAGAAACCTGTGCAGTCCTACATCAAAGCTTCTGTAAAACAAAAGAAAAATAGGTTTGAATATATTAGTCTACTATATTTTTAAGAAACATGATAAAAAGGATTTCAAATTAAATGCAGAAGGAAGTTATTCTATATTTTATTATTCAAGAAAAACCCATCTTAAACAATTTTCCGAATTGTTCTCTCCACTATCATCAATAAGAGGGGCTGTATTGGAGTGTTTTTATTATTATGTTTTAGCTGTACTGTTTTTATTATTATCTTTTAGCTGTACTGTTTTAACTACTTTTATCTGTGAGCCACTTTGGAAGAAGATATATATATCTCAGATCACACATCTGCATCCATATTTGGACACAGATGTTGAAGAGGAAATGACTCAAATCAAGGAAAAGAATAACAAAGAACAGCTGTGAAAGATAATAAGAAATCTAATGTGAAGTCATTGAAATATTGGTTCTGTTTATCTTAATAACAATGAAGGAGAGAATATATGTATGTTTCAATCCTAAAAGTGTTGTCCTAGAACATGATATACTTAGGGATGTAAATCGTGGATTATTTCATTTTTGGATGCAATAAACATATCCTTCCTCATCCCACTAATTTTACAGGCAGGGATGAGGGAGAGTGTTGCACAGTTTTCACAAATTTTTCACATAGACTTTTTTGCATATATATATATAGAGAGAGAGAGAGAGAGAGAGAGAGAAACATAGAGTTAGAAGAGACCTCATGGGCCATCCAGTCCAACCCCCTGCCAAGAAGCAGGAAAATTGCATTCAAAGTATCCCCAACAGATGGCCATCCAGGTTCTGTTTAAAAGCCTCCAAAGAAGGAGCCTCCACCACACTCCAGGGCAGAGAGTTCCACTGCTGAACGGCTCTCACAGTCAGTTCTTCCTAAGGTTCAGGTGGAATTGCCTTACTTGTAGTTTGAAGGCATTGTAGTGCATCCTAGTTTCCAGACCAACAGAAAACAAGCCTCCTCCCTATGACTTTCCCTCAAGTATTTATACATGGCTATCATGTCTCTTCTCAATATTCTCTTTTGCAGGCTAAACATGCCCAGCTCTTTAAGCCACTCCTCATAGGGCTTGTTCTCCAGACCCTTGATCATTTTAGTCACCCTCCTCTGGACACATCCCAACCTGTCAACATTTCCCTTTGACTGTGGTGTCCAGAATTGGACACAATGTGATTCCAGAAGTGGTCTGACTGAGCCAGAATAGAGGAGTAGCATGACTTCCCTGGATCTAGACACTAGACTCCTATTTATGCAGGCCAAAATCCAATTGGCCTTTTTAGCTGCTGCATAACATGATCCAAGATCTTTTTCACACGTATTGCTTTCAAGCCAGGTGTCCCCCATTCTGTGTCTTTGCATTTCATTTTTTTCCACCTAAGTGGAGTATCTTATATTATTGCACACAAAACAATGTATTTTACATAAAGTGATTTTGTGCATTTAGTGCAAATGGGATTTTTCAGAAAAAGCTCTAAATTACAAAAATAAATCTTGCAGTAGCCGGAGTGTCTTGAGGGTCTGTGAGTAATAATAATAATACTCATCATCATCATCATCATCATCATCATCATCATCATCATCATCTTTATTTATACCCCGCCACCATCTCCCCAGTGGGGACTCGGAGCGGCTTACATATAGCGAGATAAGTATTCCTTATCTTGCTATATGAAACAGAACAACAGCTATATTTTGCCATACTTAAAACATGATATAACTTAGAAAGAGTAAGTTGAAACAATCAAGTACTCATTTGCCCATTTCTTCCAATCCTTCCATGTCATCAGGAGTAATTAAAAAACCTCCACTTGCTTAACAGATTCATTGATTCATCCAAATTGCCAAAACCGTGCTTTGTGTTAAGTATCCTATGCTTGAAACAAACCAACTTTGAACCTCAATTTGACACTGGTGTATTTCAGACTACAATTACCATTAATCACAAGTTGTCCATCTGAATGTAACAACAAACCACAGTTAAGCAAAAACCAAAACTGAACAGAATCTTCTCCCAGTGACACAAGAAGAGGGAGATGACTCAAAACCCAAGTCAAGATGTGGCCTGTTCCAGCTTGTTCATGCCATACTAAACTATACTAGTGTGAAATATGAGTGCAGGTACCAATTCACATAGCAAAACAGAACTTTAAAACCCCATTAACAGTGATGTTACTGTTGTTAGTTCTTTTCTCCAGTAATGGAATAGAAAGCAGTTAACAAAAATTAAAACTACCTAATACAATTAAAAACATTTTTGGAGGGCATATTAAAATACATAAAAAGTTAATGTTAAAGGAGTTGAACATTCCATATAATTAAACCCCTTTAGATTCAATAAAAGACACAGAGAGAAAACTGGAATACCTCTTATTGCCAAAAGCAAATGGGGAGAATCAAATGGACATCCAGATACTGTTGGACTGTAACTGCTACCACTCCTCACCATTGGTTTGTTTAGTGAGGTCTAATGGGAACTGGCATCCAATTATCTCTGGAGGGCTACACGATTACCACCTTGATCTAAAAATAAGTTGGGAGTCAAGGGTACGATGTGATAACTTCTGTCCCAAGAGTGCTTCAGATTTTCCCCTGCGTTCCATAAAACGATGCAGTTTGCACTTCAAAAACTAATTCTGAATGTTCTGGGACTCCATGGAGAAGCCTTTGAAAAAATATTGGGCAAGAGTACATTGCAAAAAAAAAAGCAGCCCCTCTGTGCCTGTACAGTATTATTTCAGTGTGCACACACTGTGATCTAACTCTTGGACATAGAAGGTAGTTTTGTCTTCTGAATTAATACCAGAAGTGACTTCTAAAATTTTTCATTTCTTCTTTGATTGCCAAAGCATTCACCTTCACAGTCATATTCAACACAGAATGATACTCAAATTTTTATATGGAGAAACATTAGGAGACACTTTGTAAGAGGCTGCAATGAGATCATCATGTAAATGAAAAAGTTATAATATTTTTCCCTTCCAAGAGAGCCATACCTGACTTGTGGCATCTGCCTTGAGATTATTTTCCAATTGTTCCATTTCATCCATCGGAACCAGTGCTTCTCAACCGAAGGGTCGAGACCCCTAGGGGGGTCATGAGGAGATGTCACAGGGGTCACCAAAGACCATCAGAAAACACAGTATTTTCTGTTGGTCATGGGGGTTCTGTGTGGCAAGTTTGGTCCAATTCTATCGTTGGTGGGGTTCAGAATGCTCTTTGATTGTAGGTGAACTAAAAATCCCAGCAACTACAACTCCCAAAATCAACCCCCCCCCCCCAGCCCCGCCAGTAATTCAAATTTGGGAGTATTGGGTATTTGTGCCAAATTTGTTCCACTGAATGAAAATACATCTTGCATATCAGAAATTTACATTATGATTCATAACAGTAGCAATATTACAGTTGTGAAGTAGCAATGGGGTCACAAAAACATGAGGAACTGTATTAAGGGGTTGCGGCATTAGGAAGGTTGAGAAACACTGATCTAAACCCTTTACCTCCATAGCTATTTTGAAAGTAGCCTTTGTGGGCATTGTTACAAGTATGTCATGCAGCTTGTTAAATTAAAAAATCTATTGATTACCAAGTTGGGACTGATAAAACCGACCTTAACTTCATTCTACAATATTACCTAGCTTCATACCAGCTGCGTTTCTGAATCAGAAGAGAAGACATGCCACTTCCAAGGCTGCCTTCTGACTCCATAAAACAGAAGAGGCAGAGAGAAAAATAATCTTGGTGAACATTATATTGTGATATAGAAGTGCGGACTGAACAATCTTACATAAACAATCAACAGTGTTAAGTCAAACAAAGGCAATCTTTTGCCTTATCAATGTTATTGGATTCTAATTTATGTTGTTTTATTAGAAAGTAAATGGATAATTGGGAACTTAGTTATTTTTTTGAAACAAATCTTCAAGTATAAATTATTGTAAAGTATTGAAAATGGCTTTGATCTGTCTCATTTTAGCTTGTTACCTTTTTACCCTTTTACATTTGTCTTGGCGTTTACCTCATTTTAATTTTGTAAAGTTGATTTTATTGTATGATACCCTGAGATCTTTTGATAGATGGTGAGATATAAATATTTTCCCATCAATTCCACTTTCTTTGGGGACTTAGGAAATATGCCTAGCTCTTCCCTGTAATTTAAATTAGATGGGGCAACGTATTCAAACTATAGCTACAGGAGATTCCACCTAAACATTTGGAGGAACATCCTATGGTATTGTTTGCAGTTATTTTATATCTGCAGCTACTGTTGCATTTTATTTATTTTAATTAGTGGAGTTTTATGATGTTATGTTGTTGTTATTGCATTTGTGTTATTGTTATGAACTTGTATTTTGTGCATTTGTACCTTTGAGTGTTTTGTGAGCTGCCCTGAGTCCCTAAGAAGATGGTGGCAGGATATCAATAAGTTATTATTATTATTATTATTATTATTATTATTATTATTTATTCTAAGAGCTATTTCACAGTGGAATATGTTGCCTTAAAGTGTGGTGAAGTCTCTTTCTTTAGATGTTTTTAAACAGAGTACAGACGGTCACTGGACAAGATTGTTTTGGTAAAATGCATAGGAGGAAACTAGACTGAATGGTCCCTTCCAATTCTGTTTCTATATTTCTTTTCTCACAACAGAGAAAGCTGTGTATCCATTATTTATTAAACCCAAGGTTGTATACTTTTTGCCCTCCCCACATTTTTATTATGATGGTAATCCTGTGAGGTAGGTAAAGGTAAAGGTTTTCCCCTGACATTAAGTCCAGTCGTGTCTGATTCTGGGGGTTGGTACTCATCTCCATTTCTAAGCCAAAGAGCCGGTGTTGTCCATAGACACCTCCAATGTCATGTGGCTGGCATGATTGCATGGAGTGCCATTACCTTCCTATCTATTGATCTACTCACATTTGCATGTCTTCGAACTGCTAGGTTGGCAAGAGCTGGGGCTAACACCTGGAGCTCACCCCACTCCCCAGATTTGAACCTGCAACCT